CCACAGTCCGGCAGAATCGTGTAATGCAAAATGTGGTGTCAACTGGAAGTGGAGTTGATCTCTTTTGGTTTCGGCTTGTGCTGTATGATTTTGCTTGATGCTGTGATTGGCTTCATGGGACCCACGAAGTGTTCATACGAAAGGCAAGTCTTCACAACAATTGTGGCATTGTTGTCCATTTCGAAGGGATGGCTGGTGGGAAGCAATTCGTGATGTCATCTGCCCAGAAACGGACAATCAGCCGAGGCATTGTTCGCACAAGTCGACAATCTTGCCTGAGCAACAATCCTACTTCATTCGTAAGTAAGTAGGGTTTCGAGACTACCAGTAATTCAGTAGTATGAGATGTATTCACCCAATTTCGTTTAAGGTGCTGAAGGACTGGTAGAAGAAGAATTTTCCCAAAATGAAATGAGTAGAGCTGACGTTTACATTGTATTTCACATAGGCTTGATTTCCCAAAAGTTTTTCGAATTAAGTATTGTTTTTCGTGTCTACCAGTAAATCAGTAGTATGAGATGTATTCACACAATTTCGTTTAAGGTGCTGAAGGACTGGTAGAAGAAGAATTTTACCACAATGAAATGAGTAGAGCTGACGTTTACATTGTATTTCACATAGGCTTAATTTCCCAAAAGTTGTTCTCATCCCGGCTGGAGTGGACTGCAGTTTCAATCTCGCATTGGTCTTATCAACACCCTCAGCGGGATTCGAACCGCGAGGTCGAAACTGCAGTCTATGCAGGATTAGAACAACTTTTGGGAAATTGAATGGAACCGTCAGCTCAACTCATATGATTGTGGGAAAATTGTTCTTCTACCAGTCCTTCATCAGCTTACACGAAATAGAGTGAATACATCTCAATCCTACTTCAGTTGCCGGTGAGACGACATCATCAATTCCCTTCGAAATGGATAGTCATGCCACAATAATTCATTAAGGAACTCTTCGATATGCAATTTTTATTCATATTTTCACAAGAAATCTGTCGCAGCCCAGCTGCAACAAACTGGGTTTTAGTGAACCTCTCAAGATGGAGGCTTGGTTTTTTATATGAAAGTCCGATATGAAGTGACGGAAGGTGACAATTGCATGTGTAATGCAAGTCTCCACAACGAATTGTAGGCTCAAACTTAAGGTTTCCATGTTGAATGACCATTTGTGATGGTAAAATCCGTTTTTGGCATAGCCATTTTGTGAGATTGTATGCAATTTGTGCCTCATAGACTTTGATTCCCCCCCCCCTTCGGCCCTGTTGTCAATCCCAATCAGGCTCGGTACCGCCGGAAAGCGCAATTTCGCCTACTTCCACCTTTACTGTGTCACCAGGGCGACCAGAAGAGGGCGCCTTTTGGTGTTTTTTTCTCTGCTTTCCTATTCACTTTGGCTGAAGTCGCATCGCGACGTCTCGGCAAGACGTGGCAACCTTGTGGAAAGTTGTGTTGTGGAGGCAAAAAACCAGTCATCAGCAGAGCCCACAACACGTCTGTACCTTTGGGCTGAGGGCAGAAACGCGGCGGACGGGAGGCAGCCGGTTGGCTGAGCGACGGACTGGCAAAATGCCGCAACTCAGAGAGCCGGAAAAAAGTCCATTCCGACTGGTCTTCTGCCCGACTGGTCGTCTCTTTGCCCAGCAACGGTCGCAGCCCGCCAACAGGCACGAGCAGGCATGCATGCATCGGCCGGCCCCG